ACTGTCGAAAATTATTGTTTTAGAGAATGCGCTCTGACATTCATGCAGTGAATTTCTGGCATTAAAAAAATTGTATACTATCTGTGTTTTGAATCTTACATTTAACACATTATGGGCATGTATGTTTTCTCCAGGCTTCACGGATGCCCACTGTGTGAAACGGGTGCAGGGCGGGGGAAGCACCAAGGTCTGCTTGCAAGTCTTCATGGCACTGACCTTCTGTTGTGTGAAATTCTTTGCTATTAAAAACAATGCTAGAATCCTGTTTGCAGAGCATTATTTTTTGTAATTAGGATCTTTTCTAAGGAGGGTTTCTAGAGTGGGACTTATGGGCCTCGGTAACTATCTGCTACCTGCCAGACTCCAAGCCTCTTCACCTAGGAGGTTGACAATGACATAGATCAGAAAATGATGAAGCCACAGGCACAGCACCCTGTCCTAAAAGGTGACATTTCTTGAGAGCCCACTCTGTATGGGGAACTGTGCTAGACACTGGGCTCACGTTACTCAAATCCTTACAGTATAAGAGCAAACGCATCATCCCCTTGCCTGGTTTCTGTGCTAGTCTCAAAAAAGTTTAAGAAATCTGTCAAGGACACATGTAGCTAAGAAGCGTCCAGACTGAACTCTGAACTCAAACTGTGATTCCAAAATTGTGCTTCATCATCTAACAATAAATGCTTTCTGAAAGTGGTTGACGTCAGAAGAATTTCGCTTCGTTGCCGTCAGCACCAAAGCAGGGCGGCTGTGCCTCGCGAGCCCTGCTCCGTGGTTGCTCCTCCCCATTGGAAGAACAGCTTTGCCCTGAACCTGTGGGGCTGAGCTTTCGTATTCATCACACGCTTTGAAGAGCCTGGTGTTACTGAACAAAGACCAATACTATGTAGAAACGGCCCTGATGTTACACCTGGTGCTACTCAGTGTTTCAGGCTGACTGCGTGTCTGGCTGCCTCGCTGACGTCACCCTGTTTTTTATGTCCATTCCGGGGGAGGGGACCCATTTTTACCGAAGATTGAAGCCGGGGTCTGCAGGCGCGAAGACGCAACTGTCTAGGAGTCTGAGGACGAGTCGACAGCTGCGAGGCCACCCGGAGGCCACCCACGCACAAGGACACAGCCCTCAGCTGTCTCCCCAGCCAGGGCCCCATTTGGTCCTGACCCCACACCGAATCGGTGTGCTTGCTTTGATGTTTATGAACCGACGGCACTGAAGCGCAGGACAGCGATTCAGGGGTTAGAGAAACTGTTATTTATACAAATGTGGTTAACACCTCATCAGTTTAAACCGGCTGTGCTACTAATAATAATGCTCATTGTGCTCCGTTTTCTGGCTTTTTGTTTTTCCCCCAAATCGGCAACTGCCATGTGCAAGATGCCGAGTGCGGTGCCGGAACCGACTGCATGACTGGATTCCTGCGCCAAAGACGCTTCCTTAGCAAACCTCCCAACCGAGTGGGCCCCCGACACGAGTCCCACACGTTGGGGTTACATCACAGTTCATCTCAGTGTTTTGTTAAATATTAGTCACTGTTCCAATATCTCCTCACTCACGCACCACCCCACTCCCAAATCTGCTCATCGGTTCCTCAGCTTTAAGAGAATCTGGCTTCACAAAAGCTCACCCAGCGAGCCTCCCTGCTCCAAAAGGGCCTGTGGGGCTCGCCTGTCCACCGGCCCAAATTCGGCCCCTGCTTTCTGGGGGAAGGAATGGGGGCACTTTTTATTGGCATCGAGTAGTTTCTCTCCTGTTTCCAACGATAGAGCTGTGCCTGTATGAATGTACAACTCAGATTCCACTATAATAAAAGTACTCTTTTAGGTCACGGTAGGGAACTGATTGATTTCGAGCTATCACTGTGAATTTAAACTGCCACACTATTCAAATTGTGCAATGAGAATTTACTGCAGGAATTTAACTTGAAAGAGGAGGAGATTCAACTTTTTGGCCTTTATAGGAGTAAAACTGCCCCTTATTTTACTACTAGTTATGGTAATTATTTTACCATAATTAATATCACCACTCAAATAATCCTAGCAGTTCCTGGATTGGGTGCTCAATTAATGCCAGATAAACGCTTCACTTAATTTCATCAAGAAATTCTGTTAGGAAATTTAAGAAACAATGGTACCTAAAGTTATTCCATATCTGGGTTAAAAGTGTACAACTTGCGGTTTTATATGTTCCCTGTGCCCCGCCCTCCTCAAAACCATGGGTGGGAGCCCTGACCCCCAACCTGGTGGTGTCTGGGGCGCAGCCCTCACAGATGGGATCAGTGTCCTTGTAAAAGAGACACTGGGAGGGATGCGCTCTGTGTCCCTAAGAAAAGACACAGCGAGGGGTCAGCAGCCTGCGAACAAGAAGAGGGTGCTCAGCAGACCTCAGACCTGCCGCCCCGGCTCTTGAACACCCCAGACCCCAGAACTCTCGGGTAAAGGCTGGTTGGTTTCGCCCTCTGGTCTATGGGAACCTGGTTCAGCAGCCTGGACCAACACACACACACACACACACACACACACACACACACACACACACCCTCAAGGAACGACACAGATAACAAACACACCAGCTGAGTTTGGGAGTGAAAGCCACATGGCACGGAGGCAGCGACGTGCTGAACAAGGACCCTGCTCTGTGGTCACTGACATGGTGGGAAAAACACAACTGTCTCACTAAAGGCAAACACACGTTAATCAAAACCTGTAATAAAAATAACAAAAATAATACATACTTGGACAAGAGAGTTGTCCAAAAGGTGCAAAAGTATCACCTTATTGATTTGCTTTCCTGTAGAGATATTTACGCTCTTTGACGATTCCTTCACAGGCGTTCTCTTAGCCTCTGGACGCCTTGACCTCCTCGGCGACCGTGCGTGTGATGAGGCCCGACCTCTGTGAACTGCAGGCACAGGGCTGGGGCACTGGGCACTGTGACAACCGAGTTGAGCCAACACAGCCGTGGGCTGCATAGCCGGGGCCACTGCTGATGAGATCTACTCGTATGTGCCAAACAGCGACTGACAAGCACTAGGAGGAGGTTTTCCAGACCTACGCAGCCCTGTCTCACCCGCTTGCTGAGAAAGACACCAGACAGGTTGAAGAACCAGGACTTACGCTCAGATAACCTCCCACTCAGCCATGCCGGGCTCTAACTGCTGCAAAGGGGAGCCTCTGAACTGCTCGTTCACAGGGTGTCCGGGGGCATGTTTCAAGGAGCAGAAAGATAGCTGATTGAAGAGGAATGCCAGGTAACTTGAAATAGATCCATATCCCAAGTTAAAGCACTAAACTACTAAGGTGGTTCTGTTACTTTCCAACGAAAACAGGTATCATCTTTGACTTTTGAGATTTCAATGCTGAGAACCAATGAATAACCAATATTAAATGATGCTCTGTACTGAGACGCCCAGCCCGGCTGTCTAGGTATCAGATCAGAGAGCAGATAACATTCTAGTTACTAGTTACCTGGTTACTACTTCGCATAGTTCTTTGTAAACAAATAAAAATAGATTTTATTACTATATTACTCTAAATTTAAATACAAATATTGTTACATTTAGATAAGTGGGGGGGAGGATAAAAATGCAGTTCCTTCAATTTCCCTTCTCAAAGGTCTCAGTGATAATGTAGAAAAATGAAATAGGTACAGATTTATTCACCTAATTGATGCCAGAAGAATTTAGGTATTTAAGGTAGAGCTAACAGAGTTAAATTATGAAAACCATTCACCTAAAGATACCCAGTTTCTAAAATAATATTTGCTCACCCTTAGATTCATATTCATATATGGTAGCTTTGTATTTTGCTTGAATATTTCCCAGCCAAGATGCAGAAATACTAGTACATATAAAACATCTCATCTTTATGATATGATTTCATATAATTTATATAAGCTTTATAGCCTCTAACATGTTTTTATAGTGGCAACTCAATTTTATTTTGAAATAAAAGAATTTCAGAAATAAAGAAATCTGCAAATATCCTTTTCTTACCTTCAGTTTGGAAATCTTGTTGTTTCTGAATTAAACTACGGATTACACAATGCGTATATGTGCACATTTAAAAAACAACTCTTTAGTAAATAAGAAGTGACAATATTCACTGAAAATTCAAACGTACTGTTTAGAATTTTCACGAAGGTTTAGTATGATGCAGAGAGTAATAACAACAACAAAAATAAAGCATAATGTTTTAACTTTGGGGAGAAAAAGGCTTTTAGGTGCCACAAGTACTTTTTTCCAGAATTACCTACCTGGGAGGCTGTAAGGAGGTGGACATTCGCCGTGTGAAGCTGTGACGGACATGCACCCCCGCTGCGCTACTGCGGACGGGGGTCTGTTCACGCCTGTTCACGTCACACGGACAGTGTGGCGACGCTGTCATCCACCGAGTCCCCGACGTGCACAAGCTGGTACCAACGGAGCAGTGCGTCTGCGCCTCACCGTCTGGTCACCTGGTGCCCACGGTGTGCGCCTGCCTTTACGACACGTGCCGGGCCACAGACTCGTTTAACTCCGGGCGTGTCACACTTGTGACATTCAAACGGGTTTAAAAACATAAACCTCCTCCTCTAGCAAACCTTTGGGGAGACTCCCCTTCACTGCTTAACAGACGTGAGTACGCGCACGTGGGTAGCAGGAGAAATCTGTTTGAAAAGACGGCCAGAGGGACGGGGCCTTCAGAAATAAGAGGGACAGACCACAGCTGTTAAACAGGCCCCCTGCAGATTCAGAGCTTGGGCCATTTCACAGAAATTTTGGAATAATCTACGGCCACAGTAAAGAACCACCTTTCAGGCCGGATGCCGTATTCTGATGGGGACTACCTGTTAGCTAAGGCTAGCATGACCACAAAAGAGAACTGAAGATAACATACGTGTGCACAAAAATGAGGACTACAACAGGTCCAACATGTTTCCTTGGAAATCGGGTCTCAGTGCATCAGTGAAAGGTGAGACCTCTACCTCAGTAAACCTCTTAGGCAAAAATACTCCAGCACTGAAGTCTTAAGTAAGTATTTATGTACATTGCTTAGTATAGTAAAAAATATGTTCTGCACATTGTATTTGCCAGAATATCTTAGGAAATGAAATTGTCACCCCAGATCAGAAATATTATAATTTTAAATTTCCCTGGGTAAGTTTTCTCCAAAGCTTTCACCAAAACCAACTGTAAGTACATAGAGCTGCAAGCTGAAAACTATTAACTTCAAGGAGTTCGTTTTAATGATAAAGAACGTTGCCTTTCTAGAAACACTGGTAATAATGAAACAAAACACCACATACCCACGACCAGCATGGAAACCCACAATGACCGTGGCGAAGTGTGTATCTCGCTCGACAACTAGATGCAATGCTCACAATTATACAAGTTTGCAACACAATTTTAGCAAAGCCTCCGTGAAGAGGGGACCCCTCAGAGTTGGTCACAGGGAGGGTCCTCTGGCTCCCTAATGAGCGGGGTCCTTGCTCGCCCCTCACCTCCGGAGCGCGGGGTGCTTCTCCGGAAACACAAAAGGACTGTGCACTCTGCCTCCCCACACCCAGCTTCACTCGGCGGCGTCACTTCCCGGCCCCGGGCTGCCCCCGTCGGGCCCGTCGCTCTCCTTGTCCCAGTCCTTCATGGACGCTCCCATCATGAAGTCGTCGCGGAGGATGGTCCAGCTGGGGCCCTCTTCTTTCACTCTGGTCTGCGGGCAAGCACAGAACCACACGTTCAAAAGCCAATTCCGCCACAGGGAAACGGAGAAAGTCCGAGCCCGCGGCAAACCTGCTGACACCCGGTTTTCCGACAGGAGAGAGACCAGACCAAGGGCAGGCTGGCTCTGTCTGCGCACTGCAGCCATGTCTGCGCCGATACGCAGCAGAGCCGAGCGCTAACAGAACATTTCAACCTCATCGAAGGCTCATGGCACCAAAGTAATTTTTGCAATGGGAAGAAAGGACAGTAAGATCTAGGCTTAGTATCAACTTTTAAAGTCTTTTGACAAAAAAGTCTTATAATATTATTTCGAGCTCACTGATAATTTATGAAAACTTTTGGCAAACTACTTTAACACAAACAGAACTTTAATAAAGGCTTTTAACCCAAAACAGAGAAAAAGACCCTAACTGGGCCCTGTGCTAGGTTTTCATACATGCGAGCTCATTTAACAGTTGACGAAAATGCGAAGCAAATGTTCATTTAGGTTGTGACCTCACTGCCTGACCCGATCATGTAATCGAAAGGCTTGCCACGTGCAAAAATGATAAATAAGTGAGCAGGCAATAAACATGACAGGCAGCCGACCTATTTATTTATTTATTTTCTTGCAGTTCTGAGGCTGTAAGTGCGAGATCAAGGTCTGGCTCCTTCCGAGGCTTCGCTCTGTGGCCTGCAAACGGGCACAGTCTCACCGGTTCCCACAGCGTCTCCCCCCCCACGTGTCTGCACCACTGACACTTCCCTGAGTGGCCGAACTGCCTCTTGCAGGGATACCAGCCCAGCTACATGGGGGACCACCCCAGCGGCCTCCTTTAACTTAATCCCGTCCTCAGGGGCCCATCTCCAAATGCAGGCCCCTTCTAAGGTGCAGGGTACTAAGGCTGCAACGCAGGAAATTTGTGAGGACACAATTCAGCTGAAAACCCTGTACTTTCTGGATGGGCCCCATAATTCATGTCTTTCTCACATACAAAACATATTCATTCCCATCCTAGCAGGCCCGAAGTCTTTTTCTCAATTTCTAAAAATTTTTGTTCAAGTTTGGCCATGTCCATTTCCCCCCATCACTCCAAGAACAGGGCTAGGAGCCCAAGGCCAGCCTCACATTTTGCGGTACAACAGTACCACCTTGTGGCGCTGACTGGGTACTACAACATGGGCAGAACTACAGGTTGCGATTTCTCTCTCATTCCTCAAACTCTGTCTCAGGCACCTTTGAGAACAGGCCCTACAGTCGATGCTTTTCTATTTATTCTATTCACAGAAATACACAGCGTTGAAAAAAATCTCTAAAGATGCAAGACCCCATAACATTTGATTAGAAAAGAGTATTATCTTTAATGGGGTTTACAAACCATATAGAAAGCAACTTTTAAGAAAAAAGATGTTAAAGATATTTGTCGGGTTACAAGAGATGACATTCACTTCTCCTAAAACCGCCTCTAAAACAGATCCAGCCGGAAACAGTCCTCCCATTTAGAAGGACTGGAAGCTGCGACCTAGAGGAAAGGCGCCCTCCCACCCTCCGTCCGCCTCCCTGGGGTCCAAGAGCAAAGCGGGCAGCTGCAGGCGGCACACGGCACTGGGGCAGACCCACGCGCAGGAGCAAACTAGGTCCCTGGACCAGCTGAGGAGCGACAGCACAAGAGCCTGGCGCCCAGGAGGACGACCCTGATGCCCCAGGCCGGCTCTGAGTGCTCTGAACCAGGCGGAGCACCTACCAGGGCCGCAGCCCCGCCCCCGCTGCCCCTCCCTCTGCCACCCCCACTGGTCTTCGCCAACCTCCTCCCACCTTAAACGAGACAAAGCTGCACCCAATGAACGAAGACCCACCGAAAGGCAACCATCCAAAGGCCTCTCCTGCCCAATGCATCGCTCACAGCTTCTCGTTCCATTCTGGGAAGCAGCAGCTTCCTCACCCAGATTCTGGGCAGGCGCAGACTTGCCTGGGCCTCCACGGCTGTGTCCACCCGGTAACAGGCTCGATCTCGGAGGTGGCCTCCGCACGCAGCTGACTGCACCCACCGTGCTGTCTACAGGGTACCACTGGGTGCAGCAGACCCGCAGCAGGGCCCTGGGTGCAGAGTGGCCCCTGGAGGGCTCACCGGGCAGCCCACCTCTGCTGGCCTCTGGGTCACTCCCCCACTGGAGCACCCCAGGGTGGGGGGGTTGTGAACGGGGACAGAGCCTCACACTAGTGCAGTGTCCCAATACAAGGCCCCCGATGGACTCCTGAAACTGAAAAGATACTACATTTTCCATCTATCTATCTATCTATCTATCTACCCACCTACCTACCTACCTACCTACATACGTACATACGATGATTTAGTGAGTCCAGCCCAGTAAGAGGCTAACCGCAACTGAGGACGACAGCGGACAATCCCAACAGCTCACGGGGGTAAAAGCACGCGGAAGGAAGGAGGGAGCAACACTGGGCCAAAGGAAAGGACATGTCCGTTGCAATGGTCTCACCTGCATGTCTCCAAAGACAACCATGTCAATGTGTATTTCTGGCACAGAAGAATACAGGACAAGTTCAAAGCCTCGCGTCATCGTCCAATGTGAAGACTAACAAGGAAGAGAAGCTTTCCTGGGGGTTCCGGGCAGGGCTCTTTTTGTTTTGTGAGAGATGGGCATGGCCTGCGCCAGTTTTTCTCAAAGTGTGGTCCCAGGTCAGGCATCAGTATCATCACCAATTTTTGGAAATTCAACACCTCGGTGCCCTCTCCAGACCCGCTGGCCCTGAGACTCAGGGGGCCAAGCCCAGCAACCGGTCTAACCAGCCACCCTGCGGCTCTGACGCACGTGGAGCTGGGGCCACCCAGGTGAGCGTGAAGACCTGGTTAGCCCGACTACACATGGTGGGTGCAGGCTCCTCCCACTGTTGTACGAAGCATACGCGCCTGTCCACACCCAGCTGGAAAGGGCCAGGATCCCACAGCTCCGGAGTCTGCCTGTGGGCCTGCAGGGTGGCACCGACTCAATGACCTAAAGCAGCTACAAGATAACTGTAAGCGCCCACAGCAAACGAAAAGCAAAACTGATTAAATGCAAAAACTTAATGCGAACCACATGAGGCAAGGAAACAAAATAGTCCTCGTCCCCGCCCTCCCTGGCCTGGTTTTATATAAATATTTCATCAAGATCAGACAGAAGCATCTGTGTCGACTTGGAAGATGAAGAGAACCCTTAAAAATGTTAATCGGCTCCCTTTTCAAGGTTCAAACCTACACTGGCAGCTACTGAAAGCTGAAAATAGGCTTGGAATGATTCATTAGTCTGCCACCAAGTAATGAGGAGCTGAGCCCATTTCAATTCTGAAGAGGGAAAATTAAAGGCAAATTCTAAAAAACAGACCCTGCAATCCCATCTACAGTTAGCAGTCAGCAATACTTGACTTCCTTGCTTTCCCCCAGAAGAATGTTCCGTTTTCACTTTAATGTAGTTTCAACTAAAAAAAAAGGTTCTCAACTCTGGCCAGGCACGTCCTAATAATACCTGTGTTGCTGCAAACTTTCGGTGAGCTGTGGCCGGCAGTCTCCTCCACACAAGATTAGAGCCCCCCTGAAAATTCAGCCTGTGCCGTGAAGGGTCCTGGGAAATCCCTGGACCTAAGAAATGTATTCTGCTAGCAATCAACAGAAGCGAAATACAACCCCCAATGTTTAGAATCTGAGTAAGAACATCAATGCTCTCCTAACCGCCACGAGGCATTTTGACTTCCCAATAATCGTAAAGGGCTCAAAAATTTCCATGTGGAACCCACAAGGTAGTATGGAAGACCCTGTATCAAAACAAACCCAACCTTTCTGATTCTTAAAGAATCCTTCATAAGCAATTCCTTGGTGTTTTGACCATTTTTTGCCTTCTCCATCCCTTCACAAACTTGTTTCGGTTTGTTTTAACGTTTTACTAGGATGTTTCATGTGGGCTTCTGTTTTGTTAACTTCCTGTATGGTTTCCAGATTTGTGTACAGTTTCCACACTCAGACGGGTAATTTATAAGATCCCGGCAAACTAGGAACGCATTTAGTGGGACATCTTGAAACCAGAAAAGGCGGTGTTCGTGTCGTCGGTCACCACCACCACCAGGAAGCAGTGACAAAGAGTGAATCTCCGTGGGCACTCTATTCAGGTGCCGGCGATCTGAGAAGTTGGCAGGTTTCTGGCTAAAAACCATCTTACATCTCATCCGAAGCCAACCTCTCCATAAGGAGAACCAAGTAGGAAAGGGGTTTGGAACAGGTTGATCAGGTAAGCGTTGCAGAGATTTTCCTAGTGTTTCTTTACCTATTTATTGGTCAAGAATTCCTTACTCATTTCAAGTGCCATTCCCTCCCCGGAGCCCTGTGCTCCACACCGGCCTGCAGACCCCAGGCCCAGAGGCGAAACTGCGGGTCCCGGGGCCAGTGTGCAGTTCCCGGAGGAAGGGGTGCACCCGCAGTGATCCTCAGGCCTTGCTGACGGAACCAAAACCTTTACCCCTGGAGTCCCGTCACTCCTAGGAAAGAAGACCAAGAGGCTGAAATCCTGTCCGCTTCAATCTGGGTTCCCCACGTTTGTCAGAATCAGGTGAAGTGGCGACCACATCACGGAGCTAGAACATGCGACCCCAGGGCTCGGCTGAAGTCCCCGCAGGCCCCTGCCGTCTGAACCTCAGCTGCTGTCCAGGCACACACAACGCCACCATGAGGACACCTATTTCCCCACTTAAGTGCCTTTGTTGGCAAAAAAAATCAACCCATCAAATACAACTTGGTACTTGGCTTATCTTTCAAAAACGGTGCTTCTGAGATTAAAGCACAGTCTGGACCCTTGCACCTGCACATTAACAAAGGAAACACTTGGGCTCCACACAAGCCCCCGGACAGGACAACGCAGTCATCTCGCCAAAGACCACGACAATGTTCACGTCCTTCCTTTCCAACCAGACGTCCCCCGCTGCCTCGGCCTCAGGGCGACTCTCCGCCTTGTGGCCCGAGGCTCTGCTGCTTCCTCTTTCAGAAGTTCCACCGCACCAACACACCCCCACGAAACACCTCCCACTAGGCTGCGCGTCCCACTCAGGTTTCTGGTCCCCAAAGTGCACACAAGGCAGGACTGCAGGTGGGACAGGTCCGGCTCTGCCCCTGAAATGTGTGCCCGAACCTATGGATTGCTGAGCTCTAACCGAGGGGCCACGGCATCCCCGACTGGCAACCCCACACTGAATGAATCGTCGCGGAGCTTCAGAATCCAAATGAAGTCAGGCTGTGGGCACGCAAATTGGGATCTGAAGAACCTATCCTCCCGTGTGCTCCCCACCCCGCCAAACTCTTTAGCGTCAAAGCTGACCACCGGATGTGCCGAATCCTGCAGGAAAGCCTCACCTGTTTGGCCTTTGAGCCCCTTCCCGTGGAGCCTGGCTCCTGTGCACTGCCGTCCATCCCTCTCAGAACGCTGATGAAGTCTTTCTTGGACACGGAGGAGATCAACTTCGCACGCTTCCTCACAGAGCCTCCGGCTTCCTTCACCTTCTCGTCGACGTTCTGCTGATGCTTCTGAACCGCGTTGAACAGCTGCACGACGCCCCTGTGCATCACGGAAGGGCCAGAACGACAAGGGTCAACACGGGCACACCAGGACACAGACGCGAGGACAGGAACAGAGTGTGTACTGCTTAGGAGAGAGGCAACGTTTAGTGGGCACGCAAAGGAAACCAGCTGAATGGTTAGGCGCTTCTAAAAAATGAACACACATTTCAACAACAGAAGTTTATGAATGTATCAGGAGAATGAATATATATATATATATATATATATATATATATATATATATATATGCAGGTTGATACATAATCTGCTTTTCTCGCTGGTCTTTCTAAATCAACTTTCATGCAACTAAAACTAAGAATTACCTTGACCACGCACGTCTCCCTCCCTGAACTTGGGGTCGGGCCGGACGTGCACGGCCCCCGCAGCCCGGCTCGCCTAGGTTTCCGGGGTGACGCCGCGGTCTCACCTGGTGGCGATCCTCTGCAGGTTCCTCTCCGTCTCTTTGTCTTTGACGACGTCTGGCTTGACCCGGCACAGCATCTCCCACTCCCGCTTCCTGTCCAGCTGCGTCACAAACAGTGTCAGTGAGAGAACATCAGGCCTTTTGGAAAGCGCGGCTCACCTGGACGCGACGCTCTGCGGCAGGACGGAGGGACTGCATCTGTCTGGCCCAGGCTGTCCCGGGGGCTGTGCAGGCCACGCTTTCGGGGGAGCCCGAGGCTTGAACCCAGCGTCACGTGAGAGGCACGGGCGGGTGTGTGGGGGGCTGCCAGGGAAGTGTGCAGGAGCCCCGGCCTTCAGGGGCAGCCTCGGGAGGACCCCACACTGCCCTCTGCGGTAGCCACGAGTTTGAACACTGTTTCTCTCTGTTTTCAGGAACCGACCTCCTCAGCAGTCAGAATTAGGAAGAATTTTGATCAGCTTTTAAATGAATAGTGTCATGTCCAGATGCACCCTATTTATACAGCAACTAATTTTCTTTTCAACCTCAATTACATCCCCTTCTTGGAGGGCGCACCTGGCCCCGTGGCCTCTGGGTCAGAGACTGCAGCGCTCTGGCGACTGCCATCACGCAGTGGCAGGAGGGGAACCAGGACACGAGAACAGCCCACTGATAAGATAATCGAATTCAAAACTGCCTTCGAGTGGCACCCCCATCCCAGGCCCGCAACGTGACAGGGGTGCCTCCCCAACCGCTGCCCTGTTCCACGTCCCCACGCAGCAAACACAGCAAAAGCGACACGCACCCGGCGCGGTGACCGCAGCGGGAACCGGGCAGCGGGCCTCCCCTCATCTGCCCTCCCTGTGCACCCCATCGCTCAGCTGCCAGTAACCGGCCCACAGCGGGACTGAACTCCCGCCCTCGCGATGAAGACCAGCCAACTCCTTTTTCTAAAGGCACAGTTCTCCCCAAATCAGATCACGCCAGAATTATTTTTTTAAATCTTACTTTTAGGGTTACTCTGAACTATGTGTGGTACCCACGGGGAAATAGCACAATCCTCAAATATTTCTAAACTCTGAAATACATCTTTATACTCATGATTACAAGTACTGGCTACCCAGCAAACTGGGGACCTCCCAGAGACTCGAACCACAACACAGGCGGACAGTGCCGTGGGGGCTGTGCCACCCAGTGTCGCTGGCGCAGGACGTGTGCAGGAACGTCACCTGCAACACAGCTCCGGCCTGGAGCGGAGTCACCACGCCCTTCTCCCAGCCTCCAAGGCGGTCTCTCCCGGAGACCCTGGGGCCAGGCACTGAAGGGTTCTGGTATTTTCAGGACCTCTTCTAGCTTTGCCAGATAAGGCAGATTCAGATTCTCTGACTGAAAGGCGAACCTGCTCCACGGAGTAATTCTGGCTAGGATTCGAAACAGAACCTGGGCCCTCCGCCCTCCGTGAGAAGTTCCACAGCGGGCTGCCCACTGGACCAGCACCGCAGGGAACAGCTGGGTGCGGATGGACAGGACACACGGCCAGCCCAGGGGGCCGCCAGGAGCGCACACCTGCTTCCTCTTCTCCAGCCTCTCCTGCCTCAGCTTCTCCTTCTCCTTCTCCAGCTCTCGGTTTCTGACCAGGATGGTGGGCTTGCTCGTGGGTGTCTTCTTGTTCAGGATCTTAGCCATGGCATCTGCCCAGCCCGCGTTGGCATCCACGAGGGTGTCTGCGGCACCTTCACTGTCATCGTCACTGGGGCCAGCCTCATCTTCATTGTCGGCCTCCACCGCTTCCTCGTCGGACGCACACTTTTCTAGAGAGCCTGAGAGAAGAAACAAATGGAGCCCTGATGGCAGAGGCAGCCAAGGCCACGGCCAGTCCCCGGGAGCCCAGGGAAGTTCTCCACCTATCTCCATTCTTGCAAGAGGGGCTTCTCCCAGGATGGCAGGTGTGGGAACAGAGGAGAGCAGTGACAGTGGGACCCCCACCCTTGCCACCAGCCTCCAGAGGTCCAGCCGTGACGTGGGGGAGGGAGCGATGCAGGGTCCTCCTCACCTGGACCCAGGTGGCAAAAAACAAACCCCACCCACCCCCAGCCTGCCGTCGAGGGGTGACAGAAGCTGACACGGGCCAGTGCGGAGATGGCCCAGGCCGAGGGCCTTCTCTGTGCAGTGGAGCACGTGGGGAGACGAATGTTTTATGAACAAACAACAAACCGACCCGAGAACAGCACCGTGTCTCCGTGGCCCCGAGGACTCGGCACAGCTTCCCTGGGGTTTGGCCGACACTCCGAGTTCTAACTTTGTATGCAGAAACAGCTGAAAGCCAGCCTCCTTCCACAAAATTTGCAAGAAACCATATAGTTGGCTGTTTTAACATTTTTGAAAAATAATCTAGTGAAGGGACATGTACCCAAGACATGGAAGATTCAACTGCATTGCTGAGCCGTTCAATGAGACCAACAGGCTGGGGACCGAAGGCACACAAGTGACTGTTTGGATGACATCCTGCAAACCTGCCCCCAAAAAGCACATCCCGGTGACCACCAGCTAGTCCCTCACGTAAGATTCGAACGGCTGGGCTGGGCTTGGGGAACTGGCAGGAGGCCTCCAATCAGAAGCCCTGCCCGAAACTGAACTGGCTGAGAAGCCCCGGGCAGTGACGTTCCCAGGCCCCCGGGTGAGAAGGTAACACGTGTGAACACCCGGCACTCGTCTGCCCAGAGCAACCCACAGAGTGTACTAGGAAACACTTAAAAGCAGAAAATCATGCTACCGCTGAGCAGCCCGGAAAGTTCCTTACCAAGCAGAAGGCTGACGGGGCAGCTGACCGGTGAGCACAGAGGAAGGGGCACAGCACTCCGCCCCCTGCTCCTCGTGCTGTCCTTGGGGAACCACGCCTTCTTCCAACCAATCCCAACCCAGCGGAGTGTCAAAATTCACACTGAAATCAGCGTTCTTTTCCACTCTGTCAATCAAAGTGTCTCTACTAAATAGAGTAGGAACCTAAGTAACACTTTAAATGCTGACCGAGTGGAAAGAGGCCTAGGCACGAACAAGGTTCCCACCGCGCCCGGCGTAACTCAGTTCTGACGCCCGCCCATCCAGACAGCATTCTCACGTGAACCGCAGGACTGCAAAGCAACCCGCAGCCCAGAGCCCAGCGGCCACCCGAACCTCTGCTCACACTGCTCACAGCCCCCCAGTTGGCGCACAACCGTTGGTCTTCAACTCCAAGCCTCATTTCTTCTTCTAAATTGTTTCAACCAACGTGCACATTTACTTTAAATGTCCTTTAGTTTTGTTTTTTTTTAAATATGACTTATTGTCATGATCAAAGTGAAAGGTAGGGACTGGATGTCTGCTGTTAACCTCTGAGTGACCCCTCCAACCCCTTGACCTTGCGCCACATTTCAGAGGGCAATGGCAGAAAGAGCTGAACTTTCACCCAGTCGTTGTACTCCTCGCAATGCTGGGGTTACTTCTGCACAGAAGTAATTTTTTTAAAGTGCTGAGAATTTATGAAATAAAAAGGAAGTAAAAACTAAATACGTGATATATTTCAAAATGGGTAACATGTTAGAAAACAGCCAATAAAACATATGAAGTATTTCTAAACATACATAAAAACGCAATTCAAGCATATGGGTAAAAAATAAAGAGGGTCCTTATCTTCAAAAAAGTAACAGAACGTGACAGAAACATGAGTTACACACAGGAAGCAGAATAAAGTTTGCTTTTAAAAAGCACTGTCTTATACTACAAAGTATGTCAGTGGTATCAAAAAATATCAAAGGGAATAACAGAAGCCAGAAACCCCAAACAATTCTACTGCCCTAATGTGCTGCGTATTTCTTAATAAGCAGACAAACATTGAGAAATTCACTTGCCACATGTAGTTATCTCATTGGGACCGTGTCTCTGAATCCTGAGTGGCAGGGAAATTCCCTGCGTGCTGAGGAGTGATGAGGAAGGAAGGAGGAAATGCAAGTTCCCCACCCAGGCTTCTCCCCTGAACAAATGACTTGCTGGGCTGGGGAGAAAAATCAGTTAACCAACTGCAAATATTCGCAAGTGCTCTTCTAAAACAAACAAACAAACAAACAAACAAAACAATGAAAAAAGAGTGGCTGTTTGGGGCGCATCTTCTTCTACACAGCTGACACTTCACGTTCTTAGAGGATAAAGCCAGGGTTTGAACGACAAGAGACAGGACGAGGCCAAAGCAGCCAGGTTCCACAGCGCGGGCCACTGGAAGAGGCAGGATCCCCGAATGCAGAACCCAATCGTCCCAGCCGGGAGTCGATGCTCTGCATGGAAATCAAAATTGTTACTGCAATGGTCACTAGTGGCATTCCAGGCAGCAGAAACCAGCATGTCGAAAGGCACGACAATGCTACAGGCAAGATATTTGTAAAACGTCAAGAAGTTCACACTGGCTGAAAATGGAGGTTTGGGACTGGATGGTCAGACGCATGTAAAAAAGCTGGTCAGAGAAATGAATGCGATCCAGGAAGAGTCCCCCGAGTCACCCAGAACGGAGACCCAGCTCTGCACTCAAGCCGCGCACCTGTGGCCAGTCCGAGACCAGGTGGCTGGCGCTTTTCCTCTGGGGACTCACCTCAGGTCTGCACTTCTAACCGTCTCTCCACTGGGTTAAGAAGGTCGTCCTTATAAAACCAAACCGTCTGGGACATGAAGGCTCCGGGTTAACCTTTAACCCACTCCGCACCTCGGGAAGTCAGTCTACGTCACACAGAAGTCCTTATAAAAGTGTAATTGCAATCACGACAGCGGTTAACAGAAGAAAGGGGATGTCGGGCTGCCTGGATTCAATCTCAACTCCAGAGTCAAATCTATGCAACTTTTCTGAAGCTGTGAAGTTCTGTGCCTTAGTTTCCTACTCTGGTTGAAAACGGCAATAAAATATCATCTACGCCATTGGGGTTTTGTGATAATTAAACAAATACACACACACGGCACTGACCCCACCAATTACATACACATGTACTTAAGCGTGCCCAGCCCATCCACAGTGAACATTTACACCACACTCGCACACAGTGGCCCATCCCCCTTATCTGTGGGGGATGCGTTCCAACACTCCCCAGTGGATGCCTGAAACCATGGCGAGTACCGAACCCTAAACACATTATGTTTCTTCCTATACATACATACCTACGGTAAAGTTTAATTTATACACTGGGCACAGTGAGAGATGAACAACAGTAACTAATAATAAAACAGAACAACTGTGACAATATACTGTAATAAAATGCATGCGAATGTGGTTCTGGACCACACAGCTGGCTGCGGGTCAGTGAACAGCAGAAAGCAGAACAGCGGGTAAGGGGGCGCCACTGCGGACGCACCCGGTGAGAGTTTTAAGGGGCTGGTGGAGGAAAAGGTCAGGGCCCAGGAGAAATGCCTCTGGTAGTTGGACTCTGCAAGACATGAGGTGCAGAATGGGGAGCTTCGGATGACCAGCAAGTTCTATCCTGGGCCAAGCGCTCCAATTATGAAAGCAGACATACTCGGCATATGTCCCAATTCCATCCCTGTTGAAATGGGGATAAGGACAGTACCTTCCTCACTGGGCTGCTGAGATGATTAAAGGAGATAACACAGGTAAAACACTAAGCACAGACCTGGTACATAGCAGGCATGAAATAAATGACAGTAAGTAGCCAGAGGACAGATGAGGACACCGAGATCCTGGATGACAGGACAGGGGAGGATTCCAAAAGCTTAAAAAAGGACTAAAAAAAAAAAAAGGAGGTGTAAAATGAATTGTACTTCCATTGTAGTTGTTCCTACTATCTTGGCTGAAATAATTCTAACACTAACTACAGAACATGTGTTAAGAGCTAGCTACTCTTTAAAACACTTTTTAATCTTCGCAGCACTCCATGAGTTCCTTTTATTATCTACTCACACAGGGGATGATTCTGAAGCTTCTTAGAAAAGTTGAAAACACGCCCAAAGTCACAGAGGTGGCCGGGCAAGGTGAAGGGAGCATCACAAAGCTCTGCATCACGGATCCAACTCAGACTAGTATGCACTGAGCTAGTGCAGAAACTGTTCGTGCAGTATTTTAACAGAGCTAGAATTAAAAAGAAATTTTTACCTAAAGCTCCGCTAACCAGAGCGGCCAGTCCTCGTGCCCACTCTGACTCTACAGGACGATACAGGCGCCCTCGTCATCCGGGGCTCCTCCGTGCCACTGCCGCTCCCCACCCGGGCTGTGACCATCTCTTCTGCTCAAGCCCCCGACCGTTCCTGTCAGTCAGTACTGAATTTGGAACATTCAAAACTGACACTTTCAAACTTCTACAGAAACACTGACCTTTGAACAACGTGAAGCCATCCCAGGCTTCCGTGAAAACAACCAACAACAAAGCAGAACCGTTGCCACGGGAGGAGCTGTAGCAGGAAATGGCCCGGCCGCCACAGGCAGCCTGGGGACACTCTGCTTCCCGAGTCCGCCCCACACAGCGCTCCGCCACTCGGGTAGGGCTGTGACAGACTGCACTCCTTAGGTGAGTCCCTCTGCTCTTTTAAGTAACTTAAATGATGAAGGAGGCTATAAGCTACAGTTTGATGAAAAGCACATTTATCTGCTAGGTTATTATGTCTCAAAGACAGCTCTGTAGTTGATCAAAACTGAAAGGACAGCTCTTAGGACCTGATAAACTGTCCTCGTCACGTCTTGTGTTAGAAGCATACAACCATTTCTCATACACATGACCAGAGCAATTCAGAAGACATGAAATGACTGTTCCTCCCTACTAGGTCATGGTCACATGGGCACATGCCGTGGGATGGGGCCAATCACTTCACAGCACTGGGTAACAACCAAGGCTTTTTTCACCTGGGCTGATTTACCAACTATACTTATTTTTTTTTTTTTTTTGGTAAGACTACAACCATAAGAATCAAGCTAGCATGGTGCCTAAACCTCTAACAATGCATACATTCAATAAATCTCAGTAGTTCAGAATGACTCCGAGGTAGAAGTTATCACCCTACCCTTGTTAACACTTGATATCATCAGACTGGGTTTGTATTTCTTCACCTGAGTTGATTTACCCTCTAGAGAGGCTGTGTGTGTGTGTGTTTTAAGGGTGACAAACTTAAAAGCCAAATATTCATTGTGTCATCTTCCCCCTTATAACACAGGACAGTTATCTACTACTTAAAACGCCAGATGTACTGTTTTACCCTTCTGTATGTTCCTGATTCATGATCACTTGTGAGTTTGCTATGAACAAATTTCAAACCCTGCTGGAGAAAATTACAATTTGCCAAAAATTCATTCTGAATTGCTGGGCTATCATTCAAGCTTACATTACACACGACTTCTGTTCATTTTACCCTCAGTGACACCTGGTACCTGTGATTAAGAGAAGTTCCCAGTCTACCAGATGAGTAAGTGGACACGCGGCGCTACATGCCAGGTCTGTAACACTGCCACTGCCGAGCTGACCTGCCTCTCTGCATAGAACGAGGAGCCTTCTGCAGTCTGACAGACAAGACTCACGAGTGTTATACCCAGAAAAGCATAATTCCTACCTTTCTTATACAACTGTCAAAGAAATTAAAGATGAGGGAAGAAAAATAAAGTTCAAACAACACCTGCGTGTTTTTTTTTTTTTACGAGACTTTAGGAACATCTTACTAAAAGAAATCGCTTTCAAAGGGATATAAGGCATATCTCTATCAACTTTTAGGGTCTGATTACAATTCAAAGATAAGTCTCTGAGTCAACTTCCTGACAAAATGAGCAGGTACACAACAACCCTATGAGTTGCACACTGATTCCTCCGGGCTCTGAAGCCAAATTCAATCTTCTGCTTTTAGTTTCTCAGTACCTATTATCTGAAAAAAATTGATAATGTGATAGTTCTGCCAAGGCCACTTGTACACAAATATCTGAACTAGGATAGCTGTTTCCATGGGTGACCTTTCCAGAAATGCCGGATTTTGTGAGAAGAAAACAGCAATTTCTTACATTAAATGGCAAAGCCCAAATTAAGCCAAAGGCAAATGCCCCATCTGATAATGAATGGATCCACGTTACTGAACGTATTACATAAAAGGCCCTTGCTTATTTATTTCTTTACAGAGAGAGTCTAAGTCTTGAAAGGAAAAGTAGACTGAGACGACTAAGTTGAAACCTAAAAGTCACAGGAAAGCTGCGTTAAGAGAAAGCGAAGTGGGGGGTGGAGCAGTATGTTAACAAAACAGCAAAAGCACGGCTAGGGGCAGACAGAGCAGACTGTGTTCAAGAAATGGGGCGTTCAGAACCCGGTGACACCAGCTAGCTAGAGAACGTGTATCTACAAGGAGAGAGACACGATGACATATTAACAACAGTATGCTATGAGCAACAGATAGAAGACAGAAGGAAGGAATGACTAGGCTGGATTTGGATAGGACAGAGAGACGGATTTCTCTGTCTCCATCCTTATCCTTTTTAACTGGACTATAATCATAACAACTACCTTTATAACTACCTCTTAATACTCAATACACTATATTATAGTCCTGTGTTTAATATCTTTCCTAAGACTGCAATTCTAGGACAAGAATCTACTCATCCTTTATATCCTCAACACCCAGTGGGTGACTGAACAGAACACAACAAGGGTTCACTGAACTGAACTGGATAATGAGGTTTCCTTGTTAGCAAAAAGCCTTCTTAGCCCAAAATGTAATGGATCCACATTAGCAAGAGACCCTTAGAACCTAATCAGTATTTACAACAGTACAATCAGCATTTAGTTAAGAGACCTAACTTGGAATTATCCAGTACCTGAAAAGGGAAATCAAATTTCCACCTAAATCTTTAAGCAGCACTGATATTTTGCTACAAATGTGTTTCTTTCTCTGATAACCCTATATGATCCAGTCTACTGAGTTTTTAGATACACATATCTCAGAACCAGAATTCTAACTTCTGTTCAACAAATAGCTTGTTTTCCTTAACTCCTTTGGTAGGTAATGAGGACTTTAAGCATGCAGGGTCAGCAGTAGCATGTAACAGTTTCTTTGTCCTGGTTCTGGAAGTTCAAGTTCATTCACTCATTTACATAAACATCTGGGAATGATCCACTGTGCAAAGGCAATGCTTTAGGCCCTGGAAATATAACAATCTCTACTTTTAAGGAACTTACATGCCAACAAGGAGAGATGCCGAGCAAATACAAAACATCAGGCAATTTGGGAAATGCTGATGAAAAACAAAGCAGGGTAGTAAGTCAAAAAGTGAAGGCAGGCAGTCAAGGAGCAGAGCAGTGGTGGTACTTCAGGCAGGGTGGTCAGGGGCAAGTCTTGTTGGTAACCCACTGGATCAGAGATTAAAGGAACCCAGGGAGAGACAGCCAGGCTCACAGCCGAAAAACTCCGCAGTGAAGCCAGCAAGTGCAGACACCTTGGTCTGGGGGTATGTTTGATATGTTAAACACAACCACAAGGTTATCAACACAGCTAGATTACAGTTAGTGGTTAGTAAAGACCAGAGTGGCAGATGAGGTGGGACGACCGGAGCGAGACCATACAGGCTGTTGGATGTCATTGTAAGTTGGGGGACCAATGGAGCATCTTGAGAAGGTAACTGATTTGAGCTGAGAGGCATGACAAAAGTAGAGCTCTAGGTGTTAGAGCAATACCTGCCTGGGCTGCAGGAGGTCAGGGGTCGTTCGCAATGCCCTGTAACCTAAGAAGCTGGACGGGCACAGCAGGGCAGAAAGCCTCAAAACATCTTCCCTTCCTTTCAACATCAAGCGTCTGTGCGAGAGACATTATCACCAGTTTTATTTATTCTATTCCAACCACCCACTCTTTCATTCATCGCTATGTGGTCTCTAACTCCTGAACACATGCACGCACCTATCGCACAAGAAAAGGCAAGCGCACCATCCTTCTTCCTGTTACTTGCTCTAGCCTTTTGCTCCACGCTCCCTATGAGACTTATCCCATTGTAGTACTTTCACAACTCCCCCTTCCTTTCGACTTTTGCTACTGTAAGCAGCAGTTCCGTCCGTTTTAGTTGATAAGAGCGGCCCTGAAAACGTCTACTGAAAAAAGATGTGCAAGCTCAAACAGCTGACAACGTCCCTTCCTAGAACACCACTCCCGGTAAGCCTTCTCATCCTGCCAAAGTGGCCCCCTGGACGCCAGGCGCGCAGATGAAGTTCGCGGGGCTCCGAGCAAAGGCACTGGCATCCCCTGCTTCCCGCAGACTCAGCCTAGCCTTCCCTCCCGGCAGCCAGCCCTAGCACGTTACCTCCAAGGCCGTCAGGGTCTTTGTTCTCATCTTCCAGCTCCGATGCTACAGCCTTGGCTACCATTTTCATCTTCTTTTTCTTCTTCTTCAGGGAATTTTTCAGTTTTCTCCCCTCACCCCCACGTGAGTCCTGCACGGCCGCGGCCATGTTTCTGCAGCGGAAGCGTCCCTGAGTGCTTCGTCCGGTGGTAACAAAAGGAACTTCGGCATCAAGTTCCGGCGACCTAAGGTTCCGGGGCGGGGCCCTGGAGCCCGAGGTTTCGGACTGCAGTCTCAGACTTGGGTTGCGGAGAAGAACCTTGGCTTCCAGCTGCAAAGCAAACAGACTCTCGCTTTCTTCCCTCCCGAATCTCGTGTACTAGGAATCCAGTCCGATCCTTGTAGCTCAGCGCCAGTGCGCGGATCCCTTCTCCTGACTTCCTCCCCAGGCAGCTTCTCCCGAAGGTCATCTTGTCACCTGCTCTCGCAGCCCCCCCGCTTCCTCCAAGCAGCCGTCACAGTCGGCCCGTTTCCTCCGCTGAATTGTCGAATTCTTGAAAGTAGGGACCATATGTCATTCATCATTTCACTCCCTAAGGCTAGCAATAGGGTCGGGCCTGTGTTAAGAGCTCCCCCCCCCCCTTTTTGGAAGGGAGAAAGGTGCGAATGAATGAACGAATCCACTAATAAAGTTAATGAGTCAGACGGGTAAGGCAGGGTTGGGTAAGGCAGCAAACAAACCCTACGTTGAGTTCTCTAGGCACACTCTGAAGACTAACCCTAACCCTCCAGTTTTAGCGGTAGTGAGTTCCTTGGTTTTTAATACCTAAACTTTCCAATGGAGTAGGAACCTCTCAACTGGACACATTCAGTTGTTTATATAAGGAAAAAAATACTTGCAGCCCCCCCCCCCCGAGAATTCAATGCATTTTCAAATAAAACCGTGTGCAGGAAAATAACAAATTCCAGCCTAAACCTTTTGAAAACTGGAATTGTTGGTAACAAAAGGGGCGCAGCTCAGAGGTGGGACGTTAGGACCTTGCTGATACCCGGAAGTCCTCCTAGGGCTGCTCCGGTGTAACCTTTACCTGCTGGGGCACCTTGGTCTTGAACCTGTATCCTGCGAACTTTCCCAGTTAGCCCTTGTTTTTACCGGATGTTATAGAGTTCAAAACAAAATTGGGAAAGCATTGGAAAAAACTGTAGAGAAGAGGCAAAGTGAGAAAGAGAAATGATCACAGGCAAAGAAGATGCCCTGCACACAGAACACCACGTGTTAAGGTGCTGTGATGAGCACATGACTGCAATCATCAGTGATGTTTCCGGCATTTGATGTGGTTAATATGATGGTTTATGTCGAGGGATTTACTCCGGTGACAATTTAAGAAATTGCTTGGTGAGGTAAGGTTGGTTGATTCGTTATACATTCAAGTTTTTCTTCTTAAAAATAACAGAGGCCCCAGGTATTCCTGCAGAAATCCGATTTTCCAGAAAGGGATTTCTGCTACTAAGTGGGACATTTCTGTATTAGCTTATTTAAGTGTCACAACCAGTCAATCAGTTGGGCACTGTTGTTCCCATTACACAGATGAGGAAACTGAGGCACAGAAAAGATGAAATACTTGTTCAAGATCACACAGCCAGTAAGTGGCAGAATCACATTCAAACCTAAGCAGTCCATCCACTCCAGGGTCCGTCCAGCTACTGAGCTGGTGTGTGGACTGTTGCACCTACTCCTTGAACAAGTAGGACCTGAAAACAGACAATGGAAATTTCTGCCCAGCGCTGGAATTCATAAATTAGAAAAAAAAAATCCCTGCCTTCACAATGAACTAAAATGATTGACAGGATGCAAATAAAACGCCCTACTGTGTGATGGGAATAACTGAAGCCACCTGTCTACTCCCACGAGGACTGCTACAAACGTACTTGTGCTGGGTGTTAGCTTGTTGCCTCTCAGCTCCACATTCATCCTTTTTGGCTGCTCTGTGAAAATACGGTGGGGTCCTTTAAATATTTTCCCTTCACCTGGGCCAGCGGGATGTTCAGCTTTGTCAGTAGAGGGCACTGGAGTGACATTATAAGATGGAGAGCCAGCTTCCTACTTACAGCGTGCTTCAGTCTGCAGCCTCCTGGCGCACAGGTGGCTTCTCCAGCACCTGACTCTGCAATTCACAGTGGTCCACAGCACCCCGTGGCCAGCAGCTTCCCCGGGCCACCCCCTTAGGCCGTGTCATAGCAGAGTGCCGCCCGGGGAACATCTGCCAGGGAACAACTTCCTCTGGCACCTGAAAGGACATCAATTTCCCGGAAGTGCTAGAGGTTGGGTTTCCAGGAAGTCCTTATAAAATAAATTTGGTAAGACTGTGCTCTGCTAACTGCCGATATTTGTTATTCTATGAGTTATCTATTTTTGTAACTCCCTGTGGTCCATCACATTTCTTATTAGTGATAGTAACAGAGAGGGACACACCGAGAAGAGAAGCTTAGCTTGATCTATTTCAGCCCATCTGTGAAGGTGAAAAGTATACTGCTGCCTTGCTATAATCCAACCTACCATAATGTGGAACAAATGTTAAGTCTTGAAATCCATGCTAGCGGGTGGAGTTGAGCTAAGCCCCTTCTGGTTTTTGTTTTTTTTTTTTTCAGTTGACTCTCAATTACAACATAACATCAGCCCAGGGAGTAGGGAGGTGCCCGTGTAGAAATGGATCTTTAGGTTTTTGCACTTGTTCTAATCTAAGAGCCTTTTACTTGCGTGTGTACTGTGTATGTTTACAGACTGTAGGTAGATATAATTGAAAAGCTTGGTTTAATGAACATTTAGCTGCCCCCCCAAATAACTAAAGCACAGCCACGCCCCCTCACACCAGATCTGGACCTCAGTTATATGTGTTTGGAGGGGCGTGGGGTGTTTTTTCTTCCTTGGATGCTGATTCTCAGCTCTGGGAACAGTCTCAGCTCCTCGTATCTGCTGTTCCTATGTTCTCCAGACTTAGTTTCGTACTAGCCAATCCTTTGTTATTCCAACCCTCTATTATAGTTAATAATTCTTTTTTTTTTTTGCAGATGAGAATCCTTATTTATCATCTTTATTTTCAACGCTAGACACAGTATGGTTTGGCAACTCTATAACGTCACTTTTACTGATCTGGACAGAGACAGTGTGAGAGCAGGCATCAGGATCACCCGTTAGTGCACGATATACAACCCTCCCTCTCCAGCAGCCATTCCTCGCTGCGGCTTATCTTGCCCACACATTCCTCCCCCGAGTTCTACACATAATTCTTTATATTCAACATTCCTATTGAAATTATTAAGCAGTTTTTTTGTTCCGATTGGCTTGGATGGATAGAAAGCTAGAATGGGTGTTGCGATGAAAATATCATCAGCACCCATGTATGTCCGTCCCTGCCTGCCTGCAGCACTCAGTTCGTAGAGGGTGATTCCTTTTATGAAGAGTGGGGTGGATGGAGGGAGAAGAGTTCCTTATGAAAGTAGCAATATTTATAGGAGGAAAAGAGATGTAATATTTTCTTCTGGATGTTCAGTTGCAGCTTGGCTGATGGAAATCTCTCAACTGATGGACCCGGAGCAAATTAAAAAGTGAGAGACCAGAGGGTTGATTGCACAGTGGGTCCAGGGCAACGATGCTGCTGTCTGGCAAGCTGCAAATGCAAACATAATGGTCAAGAGTTCTGGAAAGAGGTTCTGGTTAAATGAAAGTCCTCAGGTTCTCTACAGAAAGCGGGATTATGAAGAGAGAGTATAAAGAGAAAGAGGCTGTCTCGGGATCCCAGGGTTTACCATGGCGTCTGTGCGGAAAGGAAGGAGAAGGGGGGGTCAGGGAGGAGGGCTAGGGGAAGAGCAATACTAAGGCCCTAAACACAAGTGGGCTAGGTTCCCTGAAAGAAGAGATTGTCATCGATGTTAAACTCTACTGTGGTCTTAGAGGAAACGACACCGCAAACATTAATTAATTTGCCATTGAAATGGGAGAGGTCAAATATTCTTAAGATGCATCTTGATTTGAGCCCAACTCCCATTGGATGGGGGGGGATACTGCCGCGCAGCACAGTGAATAGCCTTCCTTTGTGAGGATGAGCGCTCACAGGATGGAGCTGCCCATGGGCGAGGGTCTGTCTCCTCTGGGTATTGACCCTTAGGGTATTGACCCTTAGGGTAGAAGAAGTGACCAGTAATAATCCTTCATGTGCATCTCCTGAAAGCCCTTGAAATTCATTAAAAAGAAAGTAATTAGAATTCCATTTTTTTTCACAGCAATTTTGCTCTCTGATAGAAAAGTGGAACTACTTCCAAAGTCCAAACAATCCAGACTCCGTCTGTTCATAGGACTCTTTTTCTGACTGTTCATAGGACTCTTTCTGAGTCTTATAATATTTCCTTTAAGAACATGTGTTTCTGAAGCCCGTGGGCCATCCTTTAAAAGAGGAGAGCTCCCCTCTTCATCTTTCTCTCCTCCAGTGCTGAACTCCTGCCTGTGGAATAATTAAGACTCAGGCAGCAGATTCATTATTCCTAACTGGACTGACGCAGTGTTTGATTGCCTCTTTAGGAACGGGCCTGTAAACAAGAAAGGGACAGATTACATCATCTGGTTGGTGAATCCTGGCAAGATGAATAGGCTTTATTTCTTTGAACAAATTACTCATGGACTCCTGGTCTCCAAGCCTGCATTAGTGAGCCGGGCACTCTCATGCATCAAGAAGCATATTTCACCTTGCATGAAACCTTCCCATTAAAAACTCACCTCGTGATCGGAGCAGACTGTCTCTCAGGCAGGATTCATCAGAAGTGACAAGACTTGCCCAGGATTTCTGAATGATCAAGGAAGCAGAAAAGCGGGCTACCTTCATCCTTCTAGACCTTTAGATGCTCATTTCTGTCAGTAGAAAGTGTGTCCCAGGTTGTATCCAAGGGCCTGCCACTCCCTTCCTGTTTCGATAGTTGAACCCAATCCACTGAAATACGGACTCACCATTTTCTTGGGTGCCACTGCCTTGCAGAGTTGTTGGGATGTTGATAGAACTCTCAGTATGAAAAATTGGGACGATCAGTATTTGATCAAACTTCATTGGAGCCATTCTGACAACAAATGAACATAAGGCCATGAAGACAACAAATACTTCCAAATAAACCACAGCACGCTGATTTTCTAATTTTCTTTCAACCTTTATTC